GAAAACGAGTATGTTTTCCTGGCACTATAGTGGTCCTTTAAGGGTTGAAATAGAGAAACATGCATTCCAACTCCTTTTCTGCATTGTGAAAGCCACAATGTTCAGTCATTCAAGACGTAACACTCACAATTCTACAGATCAGGAATTATGTACAACTGAACAGAGGATTGCAAATGTTGGTCTACAACTGCCAAACTGGAATAACTATTGTTTTGGTTTGTAATTTGCAATGACCTTGTCACTTCTTCACATTTCCTAATTAAGTGAAGAAATGCCAAAATGTCAGGTGGTTTGAGTGCAGCATGTTTTTGTTTTATTTTTCTCTTCATACAGTATGTTTAAATATTTACATGACACCGAGCCTTTGTCTATAAACTAATTTTTTTTTTCTCTTCCCAACTAGTGCTTAGATATAACCATCAATTACAATTTCAGGTAAAGCAGAATAGCTATATGTACACATTTGTTTCAGCTGGTATGAAGGAATCAAACACATTTTTTTTTAATCTGCGCCTGAACAAAACAATTGGCTTTTACCTATGGAGTCTTATTCAATGCGTAAGATTTGTACAGAAATCTAAAAAGGAATACATATGGCATTAGAATCATCTTCTTTGTAATGTAATATGCTGTAAACCCATGGGATACTGTAGAGCAGAATGCATTGTGATGTGTGCTGCATCCATTGGGTGGTGATATTTAACAAGGAAACCGCTTTAGGTGCAATACTGCACATTTTGATATTGTTCTTTAAGTGTCCTTTATCGTAGACAGAAGAATACATTTAAATGATATATCTTATCTTCAAATAGCCAATATGAGGACTATCTTAGCTTAAAGGAGGAGACTATATTTAAAAGAAGAAAAACTACCACAACAAGAGGACATAGTCTTAAATTAGAGGGACAAAGGTTTAAAAATAATATCAGGAAGTATTACATTAATGAGAGGGTAGTGGATGCATGGAATAGCCTTCCAGCTGAAGTGGTAGAGGTTAACACAGTAAAGGAGTTTAAGCATGCATGGGATAGGCATAAGGCTATCCTAACTATAAGATAAGACTAGGGACTAATGAGAGTATTTAGAAAAATGGGCAGACTAGATGGGCTGAATGGTTCTTATCTGCCGTCACATTCTATGTTTCTATGTTATTAATGTACTATCTGCATTACTTTTGGTGCACCCATATATGTATCAATCAATGACTTGTTTTTTTATTTGTGAATCAATGATTTGGGTAAATTGCATATCACAGCATGATCTGTATCAAAGAAATGCAAAAAAATATTTATAAATATATATTGCAGTATAGTAGTATAAACCTCGGGTAAAAGTATACTTGTTAGAAAATAAAAGTATATTAGTAAGAATTCATTTAACCCACAGGTAACTAAGTGGAGAAATTTGCACTTAAAGACACACTCCATACTGGCAATTTACCAGTTTTTTTCATCTCCATATAATGCACAAAATTGCAAATAAATATAAAGAATATCTTTAAAGTTCCTGCTGAAGATCCACAGGAAAGAAACAGCAGTGGAGAAGCCGTCCTTAAAACTGATGTCTGCACCCCCTAGTATTCAGGAGGTGAAAAATAGAGTTCACTCGACTTACGAACATGAACGGCTAGCTTTCCGGTTGCAATCCAATGAGGACAAACACGCAAAACTATGGCTCAGCTGGAGCGCAGTACACTCCTGCAGGTAGTGGGATGTGGGGAGTTGGGAAGGCCAACTCTTCTAGCGGGCTCAAGTTGATTACCCAACGCACAGTACCCAAAATTTCCCAGAGAGCTTACTCGCAGGTACCTAAGCACCCCCACCAGACCAGTACCCATTGTTCCAGTTTAGAGGTCCCCATCTGATTAGGGACGGAGGGTCGCCCCATCCCACCCCGCTAGCAACTCAGGTCAAACAAGCGAGTCTCCCCAGGGCCACCCCGATAACTTCCGATACGTTATGCTGAGCTCAGACTAACTCGGATAATACTCAAACTAGATTGTAACTACCTCCTTACATGTCAACCAACGCATAATGTTAGCCATGCTCTATATATGTAATGGAACCTTTGATTGTGTCTATATAATGTTACCCCTTCCCCTTCTTCCTTTCTGTATCCCCCTATTTTGTTGTCTGGCGTGACATCACGCAAAACTAATAAAAATTAAGACATTGAAAAAAAAAAACAACTGATGTCTGTGATTTCAATTTGATTCTGATGGTGACAAATGTTATGGTATGTATGCATCATACAAATATTTTTATATTTGTACAGCCCAAGGAGGACGTATACTTTCATTCTTTGATGTCTGGGAGAAAAGGTGCTTTTAGCTAAAGTGAAAATTGCTGTTTTTAATCACTATGTTTAATGGAGGAGGTCATTTAGAACTATTCCTGGGGTGTTCCTCTAACAGTTGTTATATTTGGTTGCAGTTATAAACCTGATTCTATAACATTAAACCTCAGAAGAAGGAGCTATATTTCATCCTCTGCCAATCCAAATATGTGTGCATTATACACATTCTGGGTAGTGGTAGATTCTTCAAGTCACCCAGACAGGCTGTGTGCACATGGGATTCAAGTTTGGGCTGCCCTTGTAGATGCTATCAGACAGAAATGACTTCCACTGTATGTGCTTAGGAATCACTGCTATGCAAAAAAAAACTAGTTTCTGAGACCTGGAAACGCAGCAAATGCAGGAACTTTAAAGATGAGTATTTTATATCTTTTAGCCTGGAATGTCCCTTCAAGCATACTGGTCTATAGTTTCCAAGCAGTATTGTTTTTTGTTTTTTTAATACAATAGCACCATCCATCCTCTCTGACAATTTTCTAGCATAATACCAGAAACAAGTAATTAAAGTAACACTATGTAGCGTTAGGAATACAAATGTATGTACACAAAAAAAAAAAACAATAAGTACTTTTACTTGCATTTTCTCTCTTGCAGCGTCGTCCTCCATCTACATGGCTGAGATGATTAAGACCCCATAGGCAAACATTGGGAGCTAGTGTGAATGTGCATCAAAATGCAGCGCTGCCACAATCAGATTATTCTGTTATTTCCTCGGAAATGCCTCTAGTGACTCTCTAAGTGACTGCCACTAGAGGCACTTAAACCCTGCAATAAAAACCACTGTTGTTCTGCACAGGTAAAACAGTGGAACACGGCACCCTTACAATTCAATTATTATTATTATTTATATAGCACCAACAAATTCCGCAGCGCTTTACAATGGGTGGACAAACAGACATGTAGTTGTAACCAGACAAGTTGGACACACAGGAACAGAGGGGTTGAGGGTCCTGCTCAATGAGCTTACATGCTAGAACAGAGTGGGGTAAAATGACACAAAAAGGTAAGGATAGTATTAGACTAATGACAGTTGCAGAAGAGGAATCAGTCAGGAGCTATTAACAGTTTAATGGATACGCTTTTATGGAGAAGTGGGTTTTTAACGATTTTTTGAAGGAGTGGAGACTGGGTTAGCATCTAACGGAGGAGGGAAGCGAGTACCACAGGAATGGTGCAGTCCCTGAGAAATCTTGAAGGCGAGCATCAGAGGTGGGAGTACGGACAGATGAAGTGGTCTTGTTGCCTCTAGGGTCCCTTTAAAATATTAAAATGAATGGTCTGTTACAAAATTAAAACCTTAAAGTATCCTGGAATATACAATTTGTCTCTGGCACTGTATCACCTTGTAATTGATTCATTATGTTTGTACTTTGTCCTATGTCACCTAAGGACATGTTAGTGGTAAGGTTTATTACTATTTACTTATAAACTTTCAGCCATCTGGCGGAAGTTCTTCTAAACTTTCTTATTGCAGTAATTAACCTAAGTTCAACACCATTCTCCATATTCATAATCTATTCATTGAAAGCGTGTTGGTAGATTGTTTCACTGTCCAGGACTAAGGGTTTTTAAAAAAAAAAAAAAAAAGCTTTATTTCAAGCACAACAATATCATTCATTCACAACTGCAGCTTAGTGCAGATCAAACACATGCATAATGCGTGCAAAACTATGCTTTGGCATTATATATGTATAAGAGCTTTATTAGCACCTACATACAGACTAAGTGTGCAAAGCATCTATATGGGCACCTATACTTCTACAACTGCTTGGGGAGACAGAGGATGCCTGAGATGATCTCCTGACACACATACATTAAAACGACATTTAATTCATCATTCCCAGGATTCTATATGGTATCTCTGAGCTCTGAATAAAAAAAAAAAACATTGTTCCTACAGTTGTGCATGTTAGTGGCTTGTTCCTAGCCATTCTACCAGGCTTCCATGTTTGTGTCATTAATCCCACATAAGCTCACTCCATAACACTTGCTGTTATAGGGATTCCATTATATATTAAAGCCCCGTGACTCAGTCCAATAAGTGAAATTTTGATATCCCAGAAACCACTGGGTAAGTGCCAAACAAACATGTAACTGGAGAAGAGGGGATATGATAGAAACATTTAAATATATAAAGGGAATCAACACAGTAAAGGAGGAGACTATATTTAAAAGAAGAAAAACTACCACAACAAGAGGACATAGTCTTAAATTAGAGGGACAAGGTTTAAAAATAATATCAGGAAGTATTACTTTACTGAGAGGGTAGTGGATGCATGGAATAGCCTTCCAGCTAAAGTGGTAGAGGTTAACACAGTAAAGGAGTTTAAGCATGCATGGGATAGGCATAAGGCTATCCTAACTATAAGATAAGGCTAGGGACTTGTAACGGACCGTTTCTCTCACAAGGGGATAAAATCGGTTTAGGCGATAATCCCCTTTCCCATAGACCAGGGAATTGGATTGTGTGCTGACTGCCAGGAGTGTAAGCCGTTCGTATTGCTTTTCCTGTTCGGCTGCTTCCAGAGTTCGTGTATTTCTTGTTCGTGAGTTGGGGATTCGTACAGTTTGGAGTTCGGGAGGTTGGTGATTGCAATAGCTGCTGGTCTATGGGAAAGGGGATTATCGCCTAAACGGATTTATCCCCTTTGTGAGAGAAACGGTCCGTTACAATTGGTGGCAGCGGCGGGATCGTTCCTACAACCAGGAAGACAGCTACAGGGCAACACCATTCCTTGGATTACAAAGTGAGGGCAACGCCAGTACACGTACAGCGACCCTATCGACAAAAGAACCAACTTCAGCAGCGCAAGCATGGCACCTAGCTACACTCAGGAGCAGTATGACAGAGAGTTTGCTATGCGGCTGGCTTTCTTTGGACCCAACCCCCCGGAGAAATACGTGCAGTTCGTAAGGAGCCAGGTAGACGAGTACCTGGAGTTCATGGCAGATCCAGCCAAAGGTATCAGCCGCCCTATCCGGAGGCAGAGTGCGTTACGGGGACTCATAGGTGTGTCCCAGGGAGCAGAAGGTGTCGTCCTTCCTCCCCAGCGGCAGTGTGTGTCCCAGGGAGCAGAAGGTGCCGTCCTTCCTCCCCAGCGGCAGTGTGTGTCCCAGGGAGCAGAAGGTGTCGTCCTTCCTCCCCAGCGGCAGTGTGTGTCCCAGGGAGCTGAAGGTGCCGTCCTTCCTCCCCAGCGGCAGTGTGTGTCCCAGGGAGCAGAAGGTGCCGTCCTTCCTCCCCAGCGGCAGTGTGTGTCCCAGGGAGCAGAAGGTGTCGTCCTTCCTCCCCAGCGGCAGTGTGTGTCCCAGGGAGCAGAAGGTACCGTCCTTCCTCCCCAGCGGCAGTGTGTGTCCCAGGGAGCAGAAGGTGTCGTCCTTCCTCCCCAGCGGCAGCGTGTACCCCAGGGAGCTGAAGGTGCCGTCCTTCCTCCCCAGCGGCAGCGTGTACCCCAGGGAGCTGAAGGTGCCGTCCTTCCTCCCCAGCGGCAGTGTGTACCCCAGGGAGCAGGAGGTGCAGTCCTTCCTCCCCAGCGGCAGCGTATACCCCAGGGAGCTGAAGGTGCAGTCCTTCCTCCCCAGCGGCAGTGTGTACCCCAGGGAGCCGAAGGTGCCGTCCTCCCTCCCCAGCGGCAGTGTGTCCTGCAGGAAGCGGAGACAGTCGGTCTCGCTCCCCAGCAGCAGGACAATATATTAAAAGGGGAGACAGTTGGTCCCCCTCTCCAACAGCAGAGAGTGTTCCAGGGAGAGGAACCAGTTATCACCTTTCTCCAGCAACAGGACGAATTATTGAAAGGGGAGACAGTCGGTCTCCCCCTTCAACAGCCGAGAGTGTGTCAGGGAGAGGAGCTTGTTATCCCCTCTCCCCAGCGGCTGAAAGTATGTATGGGAGAGGAGCTTGTTACACCCTCCCCCCAGCGGCAGCTTAGCCCACCAAGGGGAGACAGTAATCTCCACAACAGTGCAGATGGGACAGTAGTCGCTGCACATGCACCACCGGGGGTAAGGACAGTCGGTCCTGTCACCCAGCAGCAGGACTGTTTAGGCAAAGGGGAGACAGTCTGTCTTCCCCTCCAGCAACCAGGCTCCAACCAGACTGCTCCCATGGTAGTGCTGGCACCAGGACAGAGTACCGCTGGTCTCTGTACCCTCAGCAACCCACCCAGTACGCTGACCAGTCACCCACGCAGCCAGGGTGAGGCACCTGGACACGGACAAAGTCCTACTCTACCCTGGTGTAGTAGCCAGTTATTGTGGGTGGGCTGTATTACGGATTGTGTTTTGTGGGTGGGCTGCTGGACTAACAAGGGCACTGACCGGCAGGAGGTCAGATACCCTGTTAGTCTGATTGGTAAAGGGGAGAAGTGTGGCGAAACCAACCTCGCCACTATGCACTGGAGAAGCCTGGTTGCCAGCCTCCTGCCATCTGACTATGGCCCCCTTGTGAATTCGTACTTTTGTATGCAATATTTGGGCATGTGACATTTTTATATTGCTGCTACTGGCCCTTTAAGGGCCCTCCGTGAACATATTCTGCCTGTTAGGAATAATGCCTTTTAAGACTGTGTAGCAAATTGCATTCAGGCTGTATTTAATATTATGTGTTCGGTGTAAAGTGTTATGTGAATGCAGCATTCCCTGATTGTTCGGTA